AAAAGATGGGAGGAGTGTAGGGCATGATATAGCATGTAAGAAACAGGGAGGTGAGGGTGTAGGGATGATACACTGTAGAGAGCAGAGATGGATGTAGTGGGAGGGAGATGTAGGAGATACACTGTAGAGAGAGAAGGGTGTAGGGGGGCACGAGTGTAGGGCAATGATACACTGGTAGAGACAGAGAGGGTGGTGGGGGGCAGGGGTGTAAGTGAGATGATACAACTGTAGAGACAGGGAAGGGGTGTACAGGGATGAGAGATCTGTTACAGAGAGCAGAGAGGGTGTAGGCCACTGTCGGGGGAAGGGTGTAAGATGATAGATACACTCGTAGAGACATCGAGAGGGTGTAGGGGAAGGGGTTGTAGGGATGGTGACACTGTAGAGACAGAGAGGTGTAGGGGGGGGGTGTAGGGATGTGCAAAAGAGACCAGCAGCCGAGCAGACCTCTGATGGGTCTGACGCCATGTTAGAAATTGATTCTGATTCATCAGAAGGTTCAGATGACAGTCACACTGACATTGAATGTATTGAAGGACGTTTTGATGACATCGTTAATGACATGAGTTCTGCTATTAATAAAGATACTGCGCGAGGATTTGAAAGCTTTTTAATATTTGGAAACTTATTTATCGGCCAGGGTTTTTGTTCTTTCTTGTTGTTGTCGTAATCTAGTTTTGTTATTGGCTATTATTTGCGCAAAACACATTACCCAGTAGTTAGGATACAAATAAATTATTTATAAAATGTAGCAACCGGGCGCACCTGAAAATCCATTTGGCCACCTGAATCTCATACTCAAGTGGCCCGGCCGGCCACCTGACAATAAAAGTTAAGGGGCAAGCCCTGCTCTAGTACTATAGCCGCTTACATTAAGCTGCCGCTGGGCTATAGACGCGACCCATTGGGGCATGCAATGGACCAACGTACTCCAGCCAGTCAGCGGGAGCTATGTATTTCGCCGCATGTAGAGGGGTGGGCGGGGGTTGTGTTGGTTGTGGACAAACATTGTTGTTGTCAAGTAACAAATTAACATAGTAATTTGTTCATCTTTCATCGACAAAACTAATATTACAAATCTCGTTTGATCGCTTAATTTGTTACTTGACAACAACAATGTTTTTGTCCACAACCTCCCCAACCCGCCCACCCTCCACAAGCGGAAATACATAGTTCGCGCTGACTGGCGCTGCTGCCAGCGCCGCAGAAATGGCCGTTTTGAGTTCGCCAAATCGAATGTTTGTTCACAAGAAATACCGGCAAGTATACCATTGCAACGATAGTTAGAGGTTAAATTTAGTAGCGGCTATACTTAAGACATATTCACTTCGGATAAGAAGGCATTAATTGCCTACCACAGACGTTTTATAGTCGGGTATAATCGGGGATAAGTTGGTACATTGCATGCCCCATGGGTCGATCTATAGCCAGCGGCAGTTAATGTAAAGCGGCTTAGTACTAGAGCTAGGCTCATAGGGTCTATGTCCCCAGCCCCAGGTTACTCGCCGCCACCGGACCGTACCCCTGGCACTATTTGAATGGGTTAGGGTTAGGACTTAGGGTTAGGGTTTAGGATTAAGGTTAGGGTTAGGGAGTAGGCGTAGAGGCGACTCCCTAGACTCGTTAGTGGAGTAGGCGAGGTACGGTTCGGCATATTAGATAGTACCAGGGTACGTTCCGGTTAGACCGAATAATTCTGTCCATATACACGCTTTTTTATATTTTGGTGAGGGTTATTGGCAATATAACCTGCCACCAAAATATAAAAAAGGTTATATGGGACAGAATTATTCGGTCTACGTTCCGGTATACCGGCCGTCCCAGCAGGGCTCGAATTAACCGACGGCACCAACGGCAATTGCCGTCGGTGCCCCTAACTCAATCTGGCCGTACTGCCCCTGAAAATCCAACCCGACGCGACGCAGTCACCTGCCTTGCCCTTTTTGTGTAATTGGCCGTCGTGCCCTTTAATCTACTGCCCTAGTTTCGTTTTTAGTCGAGTCAACATACTACGTGCGCGTGCGTGCTGTAGTTGGCAATGAATGAGGCTTAAACCGATAGTCACAGGAGGGAATAATACAGCATCGCGATAATTATTCGCTCGCTGATAGGGCGGGCATGTACAATTTCTTGTTACTGTAGTTCCATTCAGCAGAAGGGGTAGCACGGGGTCGGTGTTAGCAGTGCCGGACCCGGGGGGTGACCGGGGGAGATGGACTCGGTCCCCGTACACCCGGCGACCGGTCCGAGGGGGAATTACAGACTAGTGGCGCCCTCTCCCGGCTCATCCCGACGCACGGGCGACACAACCACGCATAGCACGTATGCTGGGGGTAAAGCTGGGGGCCGGTCGCCGCGCTAGTATGATGGATGACATGCTACGTGGCCCCTCTCTCATACACAACCACTGACTACCCTAGCACAGACAGCCATGACTCTCACACACAACCACCGACCAGCCTAGCGCAGGCAGCCATGACTCTCATACACAACCACCGACCACCCTAGCGCAGGCAGCCATGACCCTTACACACAACCACCGACCACCCTAGCACAGGCAGCCATGACCCTTACACACAACCACCGACCAGCCTAGCACAGGCAGCCATGACTCTTACACACAACCACCGACCAGCCTAGCGCAGGCAGCCATGACCCTTACACACAACCACCGACCACCCTAGCGCAGGCAGCCATGACTCTCACACACAACCACCGACCAGCCTAGCGCAGGCAGCCATGACCCTTACACACAACCACCGACCAGCCTAGCGCAGGCAGCCATGACCCTTACACACAACCACCGACCAGCCTAGCGCAGGCAGCCATGACCCTTACACACAACCACCGACCAGCCTAGCG